CTAGTGAGCAGGAGATATGAATATGAACGACAACGCAGAGAGTGTGAGTAGTGTGAAGTGCTTTTAAAGTTTTATTTGTTTAACATTAATAACAATTCCGGTGTCTTGAAATGAAGTGTGATTAGCTAACATTAACTATGATAGTCTTAAGGCAATACAAACAAACATCTGTTAGCTTATGATAGCTTCTAACAGTATTAAAGGCACTAAAAACAATTATTTGTTAGCTATAGCTTTCGGCAAAAGCTAATGCTAATAGCATTAGCTTCATTAGCATATTTGATTATTTGTTTAATGAAACTGTAGCGTGATTTTGGCAAGCCCAACTAGGTGTCCTACATTAATTGTTGATTTAATCACTAATTACAGTAAGAGTGTGAGTAATGTGAATCATGTTGTTTGTTTAAAGTTAACAACTATTCTGGTGTATTCAATTGGAAGGTCAGCTAAATTAAGGAAGGTTTTGTTGTTTTTCTGTCTGAATTGTAATTTTCTTATGACATTCTACTTCAGGTGTCGTCAACTGGAATGTCTTCTCAGAGGGACACAAAAGGGAATTTCGGAAGGAATACCAAATTTCCAGGTGCTTTTACTGCGACAACCTTTATAAGGACGTTGGCACAGGCTACCGGGGAAGTGGACGGCGAGGAGTGTTGCAGGGTTTTTACTCAGAAGAGGGCTTCCCGGGGTACTGCAGCCAGAGCTGTTGTCTGGTGGTTGAGGGAACAGCAGACCCCGCCTCACCCCAGTGAAGAATCCACAGTGCCCAATAAATAAAAATTTATTCTGCACTGAAATTCCTCTCGTCAAATTGCATGTTTATCTTTTGCAGCCTGGTGCATAAACACACTAACAGTTGTTTTTGAGTAATCTAGCACCTCTTCAAAGACACATTTGATTTGATTTATTTCGAACGTGTAATACAATAAAAAATATATATATAATAATGAAATGAAACAAGAGAATTATGATACTGTAGAAACATAAGCAGTATCAAATTGATTCAAAGGAGTTTACACTTATTTAACCCCACCCCTTCTCCCAAAAACTAAATTAACAGTTTTGTTTTCTTTTAACAAAATATACATCTAAATGTATGTCTACATACAATATACATTTACAATTATAAATAGATTATATAATTATTACTACAATATATATATATATATATTTATGTTGTATGTCAAATTTGATAAAGACAAATATAAAAGACTATCTTTTTACATCTGACATACAAAATACATTTGTTATTAAAAATCAAAAACATATTAACAACTTGTTGTTAATAATAATAATGTAATTTCAGTAAGAAAAACATATTTTCATGCATTTTTAGATGGTTAATAACAAGCATTACAATGTCTAAAGAGACTCGCAGTGTATGAGACTCAATACTCGCTGGTTGTACTTTTGCGGTCATCCAATCCGCTAGGTGGCGATGTTGCAAAACAACTAGGGTCCTGAGAGTGCATGCGGTCCTGAGAGTGCATGCGGTCCTGAGAGTGCACCCTCCTCCGAGGCTGCAGCTTCATACTATTGGAGAGGTGCCACATTGCTTTTCTTCCAGACTGCAACGGTGGTCCCGCAAATCAAGCAAGAACGTGATTGGTCGATACTCATTGTGGGGGTGGGGGGAGGAGGGGTGTTAGATAGATATAGAGTTGTAGTAAGTAGATAGAGTTTCGCTATGATTTAGGTTTCGTTTATGCATAGGGTAGATTCTTTTAATTACATTTCCTTTTTTGTTTTGTGTATTTTATACATTTTGGATTTGCTTGGCGAGCTATTTTTAGAGCATGCCCCGCGGGCGACTCACGTTGCCCGCGGGCACCGTGTTGGCTACCCCTGGTATATAGCATCTCTGTATACAGTAGTTTGTGTATTCACCAGGTATTCACTCTCTGTCCTAAACGGCTTGTTGGAGCTCCTGCCCCCCCCCCCCCCCTCCCTGTGAGCCCAGTGTGCTCTGATTGGTCGGGACGTTGCGAGGCTCGTTGCTGCGAGGAGCAGACAGGTTTCTGGGTCGGCGATACAGCGAGAACAAGCAAAACTCATCCTGAGCACACACAAACACTCACAGCCGAAGTAAAAACAATAAGTGTGGCTTGATATTGAGTAAGAAAAAGGTTTATAATGCTGTGAGAATGGGTCTGCGGAGAGCATTTCTCCGCGATCCCAACTCGTCTATTACCAGCGTTCAGGGAGCTCTATAAGTCAATGGGGACTCCCTGTTAGTTAGCCAAGGGATCCTGGTGTGTGAGGTGCTCCGCGGATTGGTCCATTTGGGCCAATCCGGTCATTTGTTGTTGATCTGGGTGTTCACACGTCACAGAACCCAGGAAGCAAACAATGGAAAATGAGAAATCTCCAACGAGGCATTTTGGGGCAGCATAGACAGGTCTTTCCTGTGTTAGAGTTTTACTCGCTACAGGGTACTTTGAGGGTTTGTGACTCTGCAGACCGTTTACATGCAGAAAAACCTTCATAACACACAAGGGGACGGGTAATAACCAGAAAAGCATGACATGGGCCCTTTAAAAGAGAGATGTTAGTGGAATTAGGGACATGAAGGTCACACGCACACGCACGCGCGCACGCACACGCGCACACACACACACACACACACACACACACACACACACACACACACAGTTCTTGATTGATGCGCTCAATCACCCCCCCCCCTCACTTTACTGTTCATTCACTGTTGTCGCATGATGCACGCACACACGCTTGCACGCTTGCACGCACGCACACACACACACACACACACACACACACACACACACACACACACACACACACACACACACACACACACACACACACACACACACACACACACACACACACACACACACACACACACACACACACACACACACACACACACACACACACACACGTATTTGTCAGGGTGAGGACAGGCATGCAATCAGCACAGTAATCCTGCTGCTGGCATAATGAAATGGCCAAAACGAGAGATCAACACATACACACAAATACACACAAATACACACACACCAACACACACAGACACAAACTGCAGGAGTGAGTCCCTTTTGCACTGAATTGCACTCAGTCAAATAGCGTGTTAGTGAACCTGTGGTCATGTTTCATGTGGTTGATTGTGGTGTGTGTGTGTGTGTATGTGTGTGTGTGTGTGTGTGTTTGTGTGTGTGTTCCATGTTTGTGTTTCATATGTGTGTTCCATGTGGGTTAATGACCAAGACGGAAGGAAGAGGTGGGTAGAAAAGTCGGTTTAGCCATGCAGATGGAGAACATGACAGTGGAGAAAATGAAACACTTTCCATGTAGTTTTGAGTAATGAGTAAAAACACCTCTCTTCCACAATTTCAACAAAAATTATAGATTTCATGGAGGGAGGATTTATTGCAGGATTGTTGGGTGAAACTACTTTAGTTTGAGCAACCTGTAAATCTGAGTTTAATAGCAGGTAATGTTGTGTGTTGCTGTGGCCTTCATTGTGAAAATAAAGACGTGTCTTGAGAAACTGATGATAATGGCCTTTCCAATCGATGACTCATATCAGCATGACAAGTTAGCTCAGAGGAAACAAGCTGGACTTATTGTTATACAAGCACACACAACAAACATAAAGCATATTGGGCTACTTTGATAGAATAATGAATAAATCATTTTTTGATAACATATATTATCAAATAACTTGGATACTTCAAAAGTTAAAAGGTTTCAAGCCATCTATTTTATTTCATTTGTATTTATAACACAACACAGTTTGATTTAACAAAGTTGCGTGTTTCTTTTCCACTTTAAAGGGACTGTTTAATCCTATTTTTCATGTGTTATCTCTGCTTCACCTTCACATGCATTTATAAGATGTATTGTTATCTATAAATGTGTATCTTCTTCTTTCAGACTTGCATTATTACCATGCATTATATTGTTTTTGTGATAAATAAAACCCTTTGAATCTTAAATCGTGGGTTGGAAATATCCTTTTAGATCCGATGCAGATGAAGGAATAACATGTAATGTTTAATGTAACATCTATCATACAATCCACCTATTATATAACTCATAGACTTATTCTGATTTATTTATCTTTGCCAACATGTGGTTGTTTCTGGAGTGGATCAAAACATCACATTAAATCAATGTTGCCATAACAACGGCTCACTACTTCCTCCTCCTCCTCTTCCTCTTCCTCTTCCTCTTCCTCTTCCTCTTCCTCTTCCTCCTCCTTCTCCTCCTCCTGCACGCACCTCCCTCCCCCAGCCTTCACCCATCCCAAAGACTGATTAGCGCGCGATCCTCCCACCGACACATCACATCTGGAGATGACCGATTTCTGTGTGATTTTCTTCGGCTTTTACGCATTTTGACGTCTCCTACAGCTTCTCCAGGAAGAATATACGGGTCTTCAAAATACATTTGACCGCCGCACGTCTCTTTTTGAAAGCAACAACAAAAAGAAGTAGGGGATTTGTTACTTTATTTTTTTCTGAGTCAAGCTCCGGTCTTTAAATCTCTCCGGTGGTCCTCGGTGTGCCAGCGGAGCGACTCCCAGCATCGGACTGCCGGACGCGGGATGCGAGCCGCCCCTCTGACCCGTCTCTGACAGGACAGGAGGGGACATTACATGATATAAGCGAGGAGACTATTAGTTTTAAAACAGCGGATTTTGTTAAAGAGGTCAAATATACTACTACTACTAATTCAACACTATTGATTGTAGCTTTTTGCACGATCACCCTAAAGAGCAGTAACTCTATAGTATTACTTCATAGACCTAACGCTTTATTGCACAGAAAAACGCATTTGTAGCCACTATAATAGGCGGGGTAATGATGTAAATAAAGCCCCCTTTAGCTGTTTAATACATGCCTTTCAAAGCGCCTTCAAACAGGAGTGCTGCTGCTGACCCATTATAGCAGCATAGCTACCTGTCCTGTTGCATTCTAGTCTGTGAGCACCGTGTGCAGACAGCAGCTATGCAAACACAAGGCTTAGCTGATTTGCACACACCACAGATGATTTCACATGAATAAATCAGAAGTAAACTCTCCCCTATAGGTGCTGTCTGGAGCTAAACCTGATGAGAAATGTAGCCTAGTTGTGAAGCTTTACGTTGGACTTAGCAATAGCACTGATAGGAGGCAATACCACCTACATTCAATAAAAGGTAACCTCTCTGATGTCTTCCAAAGCCAAAGAGGAGGAAACAAGTGAGAGGATTCTTCAAGCTGCTTCCATTTGCCATTTCACTCAGACTGTGGATCTTTAAACTCGGACCCTGCTTTCTGCCCATGTCGAATCTACAGCACACAAGGGAAACGTGCTAAATGTCTCTTTAATGCAACATTTATCATTTACATTTGATCTGCACTCTTTAACTCTCCATTGCATGACTCTCACCAGTGTGCTTCAATTTTCAATTCCTCAGCGTCGTCCCTAAGATATCAGTCTTCCAGTAGCTTCTAATGGTCAACGGCTGATAGGGCCATATATCAAGCAACCTGTGTGTCAACGCACTGGCATCATTTGGTGTGTCGTTGTGGAGCTAAAGAGGCCAAAGGGTGTGCCACAGAGTATACATAGTTGAACAAAGGCCCTTTTGGTGCTAACAAGGGGGCCGAAACCTGAAACTCAAAGTGATTCCTGTCTGTGGTAACTCTATACGCTATCACGCTGAAAGGCTAAACAAAGTCTGCAGAAAAATAAAAAGTGCTTTAGATCCTGAGCAGGCGAAGAGACGAGGCACATCTTCCACACTGCTTCCGTTTGGATTTTCAGGTGCTTGAGAAGACCAGATCAGCACGATGACCCAGCCAACCCTCCTTTCAACGCGTGTATGAGCTGGACAAAATAAAAAAAGGAGGAGAAGAAGAAGACACCCAGAGCGCATCACACCCAGAGTCCCAACAGCCTCCTCCTCTCAACATAGTCAGGACATCCTAGAGGTTTTCACCACCAAGCTGGAGTAGTTGCTGTTTAGATCTGTATTGTATCTCCTATTCGGAAGTGTGTGTGTGTGTGTGTGAGATGTGTGGTGTGTTTTGACGCCGTTGAGAGCCTCCACCAGTCTTCTTTCTCCTGTCAGGATGTCCCATCTGCTGCTAACCCTGGCCCTCCTGGCGCTTCAAGGTGAGTGAGCAATGGCAACACCTTGGCATGCACACGAGCCACCGTCCATTTGTCCATCACCCCTACACCCCCCGGTTCACTGACTGTGCAGTTTGTTGCTGTTGTTGAGGTGTTTCCTGTTGTCTGATGTTGACTGTCTGCTCTGTTGTGGAAGTTTTCTCGAGTGTGTGTGTGTTCAGATGCAGATGTGTGACTGAGTGTTTTGAAGTTGGGTTGGATTGCTGAAAGGCCAAGCAGTGAGGTTAGGTTTTTGTTTTTTTCGGGTAATAAGTTGAGGCCAATGGTGGTCTGTTGTGTATTGAAAGATGTAGGACAATGTTTGTTATTCATTTCTTCCGGTGCATAGGATTGGGGTGCAGTGTTTCTATCGTGTGTGTGTGTGTTGGTGTGACTGTGCTGCAGCTAATAACTATTTCCATAATCGAATACTATCACAATTTATTCCTCAAAAAGTCTGCTTTACAATTGGTTTCCGGGATAACATAAAAGGTGGTAACTAAAGGTACCTGATGACCAACAGTGCAAAGATATTCAGTTAGTGATACAAGCTGGAACCAGACAATGTTTAGTCTCTTTTCTTTAAAAAAAGTAAACAATTGTTTGATTAACAAAATAGTAGCTGATTTATTGTAAGTCATGTCAGACTAAGATCAGTGAATTGGACCTTTTTGTACCGAGTTGTTCTTGCAAATGTTCCTGTCACGGCATCTTTTTTTCATTCTATGCTATTTATACATCTATAGGAAAGTTCAGCATTTTTCTACAGCTGCAGCTGCTGTGTTTCACACGAGTAAGGTATCTGCATGTGCAACCTTTATGCTGATACTCCCCAAAATGTAAAGACAATAGCGTCACAAAGTGTTTTGAAAGAGAACATTTTCCTTTAAATGTGTTCCCTTAAGCTTCCCCCTTCTCTTGCTGGTCTCTTTATGATTTGAGATATCACAACTCAATTTCCCACCTTCACAACAAGCCACCATTTATTATGCTAAGGCACAAAGAAACCTTACACTGAGATGAAGATACAATAATCCATCATCTTTGAGGAACGGTTAGTCTCCTGACACCCACAGGAGGAGAAGCAACTCTGCAAGGAAATACACGTTTACAAGTATGTGAGGGGATTCATGACATACAGCCACATCACTTTATGAATGGCTTCTTTGTTTATTTTAAAACATAATTAAATGCGAAGCGATTGGCATGCATTGGTAGGTGATTTAAATTGAAATGGGTTCAAACCATAGGAACATTTATTGACGTTTTAGTATGTTCCTCAAAATACATAATATTATGAAAAAATGCACTCACAAAAGCTTTTTAGTTGGCATGTGTCATCACAGATTATATCATTTTAAGCACTGAGAATTAAAATTGAGCACAAAAAGAAAGCAATGCATTAAAGGAGAGACTCAGCCAGCTGCTGTTTGTTTCGCACTCAGACACCGGCAAACAACACTACAAACCACACATGCATGCACGAGCCATCACAGCTTCATAATGTTGGTATTCCACTATATGAAGTGCAAGTTTAACCAGGATGTCAAGCTGAAAGCTGGAGGCAGAGCTGCAGGAAGATGAGCTTGGAAATTGAGATCCGATGTGAGCAGAGAAGTGAAGCTTGGCAAAAAGTGAGATAGTTACACAACCTCGATTGACAGAAACAGCTGTTTGGTTGATGAGCCGGTGGGTTAGTTAAGGACTGAAGTAAGCACATCTGGAGCCGGACGCAGTGAGGATGAGGATATTAGGCGAGGCAGGAAATTGGATGGAATCTAAGAGGAAAGTAAGAGGAAAGGGACAGATTGAGGCTGTGTTGTGATTATAGTTTGACATGCATTGGCAAAAATACAATTTCAATTGAAGTTTTTCTAAGGCAGTGAATCCACAAGGATCGAAAGAAGAGCAAAATATGAACTAGGATGATTACACAAGCTCCACCCCACACTTTATCCGAGTAAGCTCCATCTGTATTCAGTGTGGTTCAGGCTGCAGAGGCTATAAAACAATCAAAATAAAGAAATATAATCAAATAGATTTCACCTGTAGCTGACCCATATATAGTGATCCTTTATGAGGATTAAAGTACGGTGGCCGACAGGTGCAAACGTGTTACAACAGCAGAGAAACACACTGCAATTTCAAAAACTAAGCAAATAAAATAACACAATGTGGCAAAACACATTTTAAGCAACTTGACACATGGGCAGCATTTCAAAAAACCATTCATCAGTGTTTTGGGAAATTGAAGTGCATTGGTACCTGTCGGCCACCATATTAAAGTACTAAAAAAAACATATTTATTTCTAAATGTAACACCACAATAATCATCAGACAGAAACAGAGATCTTTGTCTTTGCTTGCAGCCATACCAGAGGCTCATAAAGCATAATACATCACATGGCAACTTTAAGTAATGCATGCAGCAGAGAAGCTCTTTAGAAAAGAGCCATTAAGTCTGCAAATGGCTCGAACACATACTTATGGGGAAAGGAGATCACTGTCCACAGGATGTTAAAACAACCACACAGTCTTTTCCGCCATTTGGAGTAGACTCCACCGCTCCACTCCAGCCCCTGCCTCAAATAACATTATAGAACAGCTCGTCATCATTTTAAGTGGGAGGGGGAGAACATTAAAGGTAGGGTAGGTAAGTTAGAGAAACCGGCTCGAGATCACTAGAATTTGAAAATACACAACCGGAGAAAATCTGCCACTTCCTTATAGAGCCCCTCCTCCAACACACAAGAACGTGCACATGACCAATGAGGGCACGAGATAAGTTTGTGCACAGATGGAAGGCTGACAGGCAGGTAGGCCATCCAGTTATTTTAGCCGGGCCGGCTAAAATGATTGGTCGTGCTTTTTACAGTATTACGGCTTCCACAGATGACATTTTTTTATGGATTTTTTGTCAAAGCACTTAAGATATTCATTGCTATCGGGATGTTAAGAGCATTCCATGGAATATAACAAAAAGTGTATCTCGAGCTGGTTTCTCAAACTTACCTACCCTACCTTTAAGTAATTCACTCAAGTGATGGACTTCAGAAAGTTCGAAGGAATTTTCTGCAAAGCCAAAACTGATGCCGTTTGTTATTCTAGCGTAAACTAGAAAAAAAACACATTGGAATATGGCTTTCTAGTAGAAAATAAATAGCCAACGTTTCCCTAAAAACTGAATCCAACCATATCTTTTAAGCTTTAATGTGTAAACTAAAGTCACCTCTTCTTCTAGTAAACTGTGCTTTCAACACCTGATGCAATAACCACTACAACACAGGCCTATAGGAGGTCTGGATCTATATTGATCCAGACAGCAGGATACGAGGAGTTCTTGATTGATGCGCTCAATCACCCCCCCCCCCCTGAAATCACACACACACACACACACACACACACACACACACACACACACACACACACACACACACACACACACACACACACACACACACACACACACACACACACACACACACACACACACACACACACACACACACACACACACACACACACACACACACACACACACACACACACACACACACACACACACACACACAGACACACTTTAGTACCAGGGGGGTGGGAGGGGATTCACATGAAGAGATGACCTTCCATACGGCTCAATTTATATTTGTAGAGTGTGTGTGTGTGTGTGTGTGTGTGTGTGTGTGTGTGTGTGTGTGTGTGTGTGTATGTGTGGTTTTAAAGCTTCACCAATGAATGAATAAAAAAACTAGATGAGGTGAGGAACTAAGACCACTAAGCTGCAGAGCATTTGAGCATCCTTCAGATCATCGTTTTGACTTGCAGCCTAACCTCTCCATCAACCATTTTGCCAAAAAAAAACACTGTACAATAATCGCTGAATAGACAGACACATTTAGAGACTAGCTTAGTCTTCCTGTGCAATAACCCATGCATGTGTAATATATATAATTTATTATACACACATACATATTTACTCTACTAATGAATGCATTCCTGCACTTTATTTCGTTATTAGTATGAATGCTGCATACTTTGTTGTTGTATGTTGTCTATTCCGAATGTTTTGATGTTTCATCGTACATGTATAATGACAATACATGCTTTTAATCTAATCTAATCTAAGCTGTGACCAAATACAGAGTCTCTCTCAACGCGACTGTAAATTGGACGTACAGTCATTACGTGGTCAGAAATACAAAGCTGCTCTAGGGCCATATCAACTTACAAGACAATAATGTTGCATAAGGCAGCTCTTAGGCTGTTGTGCAGTTCTGCCACTAAACCGCCTTAATTACTTATTTATGAATCTTTAACAATGTACGGGTCTTACGTACGGTGTAGTGTTGCATTTCTTCACTGCTTTTCTTAACACACTTGCACACTAGTTACATCTAGTTTAGGTGGCAATATGTTTCTCTAAAAAAGATACATTATTTATCAGAATACAACAGTCACAGTTTAAGTTGTGCTTATGTGTAATTATCTTTCGTAAAGAGATGAGATTTCAGGATTTTTGTAGAGTTTTCTGTATTTTGTTTAAATTAAATGTTTTTTTTGCTCTTAAACCAATGTAGAAGCTGTTTAAAATATATATATACAAGGACAGAAAAGCAGGAAGGGATTCCTTGGGCTTGTTACAACTAAAGCAGTGTGCCGTAACGTTACTGTCACGAAAATATGGCAGCTCTGTAGGGTTGAGTTAAAGAGATGCCTTTTGAGAGTTTGCTTCTACAGTCGTTGCAGTGGAAACTCTTTTGCTTGCTTGGTGTCGCGGGAAATGTCATTGATGCTTATATTTCCCCCAGGTTGTGTATGCCTACAGTATGTGTATATTCATCTCTGTGGTAACCAAGCAATGGAGAAGATGTTGTCCCTCATCTCTTTTACTGTCGCTTATCCAATTGTCCTTTCTCCCTCTCCTATGGCTAGTTCAGCAAATATCCCTGATCCCTTTTGTATTCCCTTTAGCACCCAGTGACATGCAAGGATAGCTAACCTCAGGGGGTGCATGGTCTTTTGTGCAGCTCAAGCTGTTTGTCAGATTTTTTGATTTGCAGGCCTCGGGGCTATAGAGCAACTGATACGAGAGATTAAGCATCCAGCCCCCCTGTCAGCGTACAAAAAAAAAAAACCTCCTAATCTGCAATTTCTGGAATATCCGTTGCTTAATCCTGAACCACAGTCCACAGATTACGCAATGGATTTTTGACGCTCTGTGTGTATGTGTCCTGCTGCCATTGGTGAGAATTGTTGCTGAGGGTGGCTCTGTGGATGTGCAGTTCCCTTTGTGTCTGCTTGCATCTTTGTCTCTCTCTCTCTCTCTCTCTCTCTCTCTCTCTCTCTCGCCGTGTCTTTTCGCTGTCTCCTTAACTTGCTGTCTCAGCTTCGGACAGTCAGCCGCGTACCTGCTCACATTGCACAATCTCGCCTCTCGCTGCGTCACAAACCTCCCTCAGGATTACCGCCTCACGCTGTCTGTGTGCTCTAACGCTCTTGCGACATTTTCATCTGTCTCTGTTCCAGTGGACGGTTCTAGACCAATTTTACTGGGGGGGGGTTAAAAAGACAAAGACAGAATAAAGTAATTGTGTAAAATACACATCAAATACAGTCATTGGTATTTGTTTTTGTAAAGGTATTTGTTTTACTAAATTTAAGTTACAGTCCTTAAATTTGTTCAGTAGTTTTTTTCATTTAGAGTATTTGTTTTAGTAACTTTCAGTGACAATTGAATTAAAAAACATAAACAGTATTTGCTTTTATAAGGTAATGAACAGTTTAATCTCCACTGTACATCCGGGTCTCTGATTTGATTTAGTTCCAATAAATTGTAATATTGTAACCTTTTTATTGGGGCACTGCCTCCTGTTGCTCCCCCCCCCCCCTAGAACCGCCCCTGCTCTGTTCCTTCTTTCTGTCCTGCAACTGAAATCTTTCTCTCTTAATTTGTGTCCGTCCTGCTGTTGGTCAAACATGTTGTTGTTGTTGTTGTTGTTGTTGTTGTTGTAATGTCTCTCCTCTGTCTGTGTTCCAGGTCTTACGTCATTTTCTCAGAGCATTGAACCCATCTCCAACCCTTCTGTGTTCCTCTGCATGGATGTCTTGCTCTTGTGTCTGTTTGGTGTCTCTGTGTCTTTTCCTGCCTGTATTTTCTACACCAAACAAGCTGGTCTGATGGAATCTCTCGGACTTGAGACAAAATACCACAGACTATTAATGTTTAACGACAGATATGGTTGTGTCCATTTGCACACGTTGATTTCCTAATGCTTTCCTGTGAGATTGTACAGGCGAATTAGGTGATGAATGACTTTTGATCGACCTCTATTGGCGGCTGAGGATTAGCTACGACAGCTGGTGCAGTTTAGAGCAGACTGTAATTAACACAAACAAGTCACAAGTCACATTTGGAACAAACAAGAAAGCTTATTATAGCAGAGATTAGACTGAAAAATATAAAACACACATGCTGATTTTCTACTAAAAGGTTTAGGAGAATCTACTGAAAGTGCTTTTTGCCTCAGGTCTGTGTTATAATGTAGAAATCCTCTGCAGACTCATCTCCCAGAAAACCTAAAAACACTAGAGCCCGCCTAACTAAACCCCTTTATTGTAGATTCAGGTATTTAAGTTGTCTTTATTTAAGATATGGTGGTGTGCCTGAGGTAGTTTTAAAAGCTACTTTTTAGGTAAATGACCAGACTTACTTTCAAAATGTTGGTCAGATTTTTGATGGTTTTGGCAATTTTTTCTATCTCGGATATACTGCACTCATGGAAGTAACTGTAAAGATCTGGGATTGCAACAACGCTACTAAGAAATTACAATTGTTTCTCCACAGTGGTATACACACAGTGGGATCCTCTGCCTTGGGGTCTGTGGAAAGATTCTGGAGTAGCTTAGCTCAAAAGTAGCTTTTACTAAATTATTAGTAAAAGAAAAAAATAATACATCAACAACCTATACATATGTCCAGATTTAGATCGTTGGTGTTTTCTGTTAACATTGTTGTCACAATAACCAATAAACTACCATCTAGACTGCACAAGGGATTTCTACACTAACACAATATAGAGTCCCTGAAAAAAAAATTCAAAAGCAATGAGGAAGTTCAAATGCCAATGCTCTGCAAGCTTTAATAGGATAAATGACAACATGGCAAAACCTTATGAAGAAAAATAGTTGAATTACCGCCTTGCTGTTTTAAGCCGCTGTAGACATTTTGGTGAAAACCGCTTGAGAATGACGTGAATCTGATACTGATTGCACCAGAAACATAAGTTATAATCCATTTGAAATCAATCAGGTCAGGTTCGGGTTCAAGTCGTTCTCTGGTCAAACTGGGATTGGGCCTGTGTTTGCTTTTAAATGCATGGGTCCATCTCTTGTTTAAATATGATACCAATAGGTCCATTTCAGTTTGGGTTCCTATTTTCCTGGCTTGTGAAGTCTTCAATTATGTTCTTGACTTTCTCTCCTTTTCCTTCCCTTTTTCCTCTTCCCTCCCCCTCTTTCTCTGCAGTGCATCATCTGCCCTCAGGCCTCTTCCCTCCTGCTTCCCCATCTCACCATGCTTTTGCAGAAATGGCTATTACTACTCAAACCTGTGCTAAAATTCTCCCTATTTCCTCCTTCCCTCCCTCCATGTTTCGCTGCGTGGTGTTACCTTGGTACTTTGTATCTTAGGGATTTAAAGAAAGACCCTTTTTGAATTAAATATGTGTATATCAGGCCATGGATGATGGGCAGCCGCTCTGAATCTCAACCAAAGTTGTAATGGTTTCAGTTCCTCTGATCAGCGTTGTGTTTCCTGTTTCTCCTTCATCTCCTTCCCCCCATGTTGCAATTCGAAAACAAACGCACCCCCCAAGAGGTCAAAGTTGACAGTAGTTCAGGATCATTGGTTGAGAGCCATGGTGAGGTCTCAGCGGAAACTGCAAGGTGCAGTGTGAGAAAGAAACATTTGGAGTTACAGGTGTGTAACTCGTGGCCGATGAGAAGTACGTGTCATGATGATGATGATGATGATGATGGCATATATAGAGTCACGCTTCTATATATGGATTTAGCTCATTCAGCAATTGACAGAATGCAAGAAAGTATTATGTGTTATGTACTGCAACCTCTTTATTTCCCCTCATGTTGAACAGATAAAAAAATGCTTGAATGTAAATTACTTCAAAATTAAAACCCAAATCAATCAAATTCACAAGGATCTCCAAACTATATTGGGTGGAAATAAATATTGCAAGAAAAAAAGCTACGCCCGATACAGCGAAAATAAAACATGCATGCATTGGGCATTGGGAGCAAGCACGCAAAAAAAATTAAACATCAAGTGGTACAGTAGCTAACAATATTTTAAATACTGTTTGGAGAGTTTGCTTGCTTATGGGAAAACACCAGGGCACTGCCCGTGTTTCAACCTCTCTCATGGGTCAGGGGTTCAGAAATAAGAGGATGGCCCCCCACGGCTCTTACCTCTTAGCCTGCCACCTGCAATTAAGTGATAAATGATGTTTCTAACTGCGTGTTCTTCATCCTTTTCACACTGTAGCATGTCTGTGTCGTGGAGCCTGCGTGGAGGTGGACTCAAACACAGAAGCCGTGGAAAAAAAAGGTTTCAAACTGGGCTGCATCTCCTGTAAGAAGAGGGGCGAGGTTCCCGCCAGCGCCTTCGTCGACTGGTACTTCAAGGATCCAGACAATTTCACCCATGTGAGTAGCAATAAGATGGGAAGGCTTTCAATAAGAAGCTCCTCAGTGACAATTAAAAAAAAAGAGTTCACATTTTGGGGAATATCTTTCCCATCTTGCAGAGGTGAGAAGAAGAGGGGCAAAACAGTTGGCGTGGCTAATTAACACTGTAGATTAATTAAATAATCCCATTAAATGCAGCCAGTTTTCATGTGTCCAGAAAAAGCTGTAATGCGAAAAGGCTGAATTTATCGTGAGAGAGAGCAGAGCCTTGCACTTTCAGACCAGGCTTCTTTCCCCATGTGTTGACTGGAAGACAGCACTTTCTCTGGACCAAGCAGCTCTCCCCAGGCGAAGCAAAGAGGTCATTATGGTATTCTGTGTTCATGTAGCAGGAGAGATCCCATTAGCCTTCAGCATCTATTAGGAATCTGTATCCGCTAATTCACCAGGACGTGCCGAGGTGAGGCCATTACTGCAGCTCGGTGGATACAGAAAACAGCAGCACTGGTGAAGCCATGCTGCCTTTCTCTCAAGACTGACTGTACTGTATTTCAAACTTAACAGTCAGAGTCTAAATACTCATTCATCAACACAGGACAATCCGTTTTATTTTACACCTGAACGCAACAAAGAGCAAACAGCAGCTCTCTGTTGTGGTTTCATTTATCCACGCTTGTAAATAATTGGGACTACAAGTCAAAGACTACAAGATGGATCCAAAAGCAGCTAGAAAGTCACTATATGTGAAGTGTGAAAGTTGGGAAATACATTTGTTCTCATTCGAGAATTTGGCAGGGACATTGCACATTAATGAACACTTAAAACATGAAATGTGCCTGTTAGTGCAACTGCAATTAATGGCTCACCAACTTTAAATGCTAACACAGAGAGAGAGATCATAAAACACAAACACAGATATGGTTGAGATTAATTATTATTCAGTTGCGCAACAACAAACAATAATGAATGGAGTACATCACCTTCTGCCACAGCAGCCAATCGCGGAAATGCCCCAACGAGTAGAAGTTTCACACAGGCATATATATGTTTCTAAATGACGCACACACATGAAAACAACATGCAGCCATCCACACAAACATTAGGCGCTTTCACACCGCAGTACTTTTCCCACAAAGGTTCATCAGAACTTAGTTCTCATGAACTAAAGAGTTCTCATGAACTAAGTACAGATCGCGTTCACACCGGAATAAGTCCCTGGGGGAGGATTAGGCAAATGAAGCCGCTGACATCACTTCTTCTTCTTCTGCTTTGGGTTTACTGGCAGGCCGCAAACAACTTCGCACCCGAAGTCCCCGGCCGGAAGTCCCAGAAGCTGCTGGGACTCCCAGCACCTTCCGAGTAAATCGCCAGAACGCCGACACCTCCTCATCTCCACCGCTCCCATGTTTTCTTTTGTGTTGCCATAAGTTAGTCTCTCTGCGTTTCTGCGCTGGGCTAATGTTAATGCTAATAATGCTAATGCGAGGATAATAAAATGGCGGCTTCACAAAACCTTTTGGGAGTTTTACGGGGCGTGGTTTGCAATCCGCCCAGCCAATCAGACATAGGAACCTTTTTCTCCCACGAAAGTACCTGCTCTCTAGCAGGGACGGAAAAGGGGGGTAAAAAGGTTCTCATGAACTAATTTTAGTTCCGGATTTTTTTGGTGTGAACGCAACATTTCGGAACTATATCGGAACTAAAGTGGGAAAAGTACTGCGGTGTGAAAGCACCTATAGATTAGTTGATATTTTAATATGTTCCAGATGTGGAAAGGTCATTATCTTATGACGTCTATGAGTAATGAACTAACAAAGACTTAACTGTATTATAATATAAATATAGCCTCTTTGTACTTCCTCTGACCTTGGCCAATTTACTTAACATGATCCAATTGTAATAATTGCGGAAGAGACAATGGGGCCTCTCTGACCTGTGTAACCTTAATGAATAAGCGAGAAATACGTTGTATAAGGAATCTGCCATAACATGCCAAGTGTAAATATGCCGGATTTAGCTTTGAGCCACTTTCCATCCGCAGTCCCTCACATGCTCATTTGGAACCATATCAGGCGTGTCCAAAATAATTGAGAGATATCAATTGGTTTGGGGTTTGCAGGAGATCACAGCAACAACGCTGTAATAAATATAGCTGGCCTTATCTCATACATGTTTTAAGAATATGAATTTGAAAAACATATTATGAATTTGAATATATTTTCACAGCGCAGGCCAAATGTAATTAATGTCTCTTCATGAACGAGGGGAAGAAACACATGCATCAGCATAAACACTTGCAACAATGCAAAGCTAACATGATTAGTGGCAAATTGTTAACATGTAGAAACACCCGTATGGTCAAGTTTTAACACTCTTTCCACAGTCTCTATTTTGCTTCCCTTTCTTTTAAAATAAATGATATTTTGTAATTTCTTCCAGGTATACAGATATAAGAATAAAGAGGCCAATATCACTGACGAACGTTTCTTTGAACGTCTTGTTTGGAATGGCAGCAAAAATACAAATGACCTGCAGGACGGCTCCATCTTCATCCTAAACGTGACATTCAATGACACGGGACGCTACAGGTGCATATTCAGCCGAACCCTGATGTATCCTGCCTACGAGTTTTTCACCTTTCCCAACAAGACTATCGACATGACAGTGGTGGCAGAACGTAAGGAATGTTGAAGCGTCTGTTTGAGTGGGAAGGGGGAAAACTAAATAAGAAAGTTGAATCAAAGAGATGTATCATAAACAGCTGGATAATTTAGACTGTTTTGATTCAGTCTCAGCGCTCTTATTGTATGATTGTGAGCCCAGTGATAAACAGAGCAGATCAATGGAGAAGGAATCGATCGTTATTTGCAGCTTAAATCATAAATCATAAATTGTGGACGTTAACTGTGTCTGAAGCAGGGTTCAGGAAGTAACAAAGTATATAATCACTCTATAATTCAGGACAGGAAGTCAAGACTCATGACTCAAAGAAAAAATGTATGGCATAGGCAGCACTCATCGTTTGCATGGTGCAAATGTAATCTAACCCATAAGCACACAGATACACAATGTCTTACCTTATCTTCTTCTCTGAATCTAGTCACCAGGGGATGGGCATCCATCTTGTCTGAGGTAATGATGTACGTCTCCCTCATCGGGCTGCAGGTATGGCTGGTGATTGAGATGATTTACTGCTACAGGAAGATTTCAGTGGCTGGAGAGGAAGCTCTTAGAGAGAGCGCGTGAGTAACACTAAACACACTCCAACACACACAGCTGGACACTGCAGTCCTTTCATTTTCCCTCCTGACACTGTTTGGAAAGCAGAAATTCAGTTTCAATCAGCTCTTTTTAAATAACACATATCTACCTTTTTCCTCACTAAATATATATTGTTCTGATTCTGTTTCTCTGGTCTTGACAGCCTGTTTTTCTATTTCCATCACGTCTTTCCTTCAGGCCGGAGTATTTAGCTATAGCGTCGGAAAGCAAAGATAACTGTGCAGCTGTACAAGTGGCAGAATAGCACCGGTAGGTCTGGTCTCTTTTTTAACTTCATGTCTGAATTGAGTTTCTCCTCTTGCTTTCCTTTGTTCTCTCTTCTTTATTTTACGAAACAGGTGCTTATACAATGTCGTTTTGCAGTTAGCTGTGCGTTGATCATCAGATCAGATCAGGGGGGCTGGGAACACCAGTTCAATCCCACCTTGACCCCCCCACTCCCCCACTGCAGTCAGCATGCCGCTGTGTCCTTGGGCAAGACACTTCACCCTTAATTGCTCCTGTGGGTGTTGTCGACAGTATTGATGTATTACATGTCTGATATATGTAAGGTAAAGCGCTTTGAGCACTTGTTAAAGCGTTAAAATAAATGCAATTAAATATTTGGATTATTATTATTTGGATTTAGTCACAATGAAAACAATTTAGAGTGCCATTCGACACGTTTTTGCCTCAACATATAAAGATTTGATAGTGAATGAATAACTATAGGATAAGACAACATCAGCATTTAGATTGGCGCACCATAAACCTAGCTTAAACTGTGCAATATTCCATGCCATTTACGAGCACATTTGGCTGCCAATACATTTTAGGATTTATTTTTTAAATGATCTTATTTACTTTTAAAGGGCCCATGTCATGGCCATTTCCACTGATCATAATTACATTGTTGAGGTATACTAAAATAGATTTATACTGTGCAATTTTCCAAACTCACATTGGTTTTGCATACAGCATCTCTGTCAAGCATGTGTATTCAGCAGTATTCACTTTCTCCACTAAACGACTCGTTGGAGCTCTTGCCCCCCCCTCCCTGTGAGCCTAGTGTGCTCCGATTGGTCAGCTCGGCCACTCGTTCTGATTAGTCAACCACCAGAGAGGCTGCGCCCATGTCTAACAGTGCTTTTCCCGGCTGCTCTCAGCGTAACATCAGTCTTATCATGGCGTCGGCACAGCCGTATATTTTATATACATATATATTTTTAACTGTTGTTATAGAAGAGTGTGACGGCCTCAGGGCCTTTGTCTTACGGTGGGGTGGAGCTGAAGAGGGTAATCAGCACGATCACGGACACCTCCGGACACTACGGCCCCAGTCTCTCTCCAAAGCGGCTGCAGGAAGACTAACTCTGCGATCCTCTCAACCACCTATCTCTGCATTTACCACAATAAATGTGCCGTGGTTTTGTAAACTCGTGTATGTCTCCTTGTCTTTGTGGCCTACGAGCCGCTCATAACAAAGAGTAAGTTATTTTTACCCGTTATAAACTACTACTGTTTGATGAGAAATCAAATCATGGTTTGCTATATATGAATTCAGGGAAGAAAGGATAGGCCTACTAAGTATTTCCATTAAACTTTATTTTTAGAAATGTACAAAATGAACATAAATATACATATATACACACGGTATATCATTCATTCCTCCTCCTCGCATCTTGCCTGCGCACAGTCGGTGCGGTGCCTTTTAGCACGACGCCTCAGTAGTAGTAGAATCCCTTCCCCGTCATGGATTGTCCGCCAGGATCTGGCTGGACGAAATCAAATGCAAATCACAAAATATTAGAGAAACTTAGTTGTTTTAGATTCGTTAGTAGTAGTTGTGTAATGAACAGCTTGCCTGCTAATATGCTAACCTAGCTTTGTTTACCTTGGTAGCTAACACGATATGAACGTTAGCTTGGAGGAAAGGCAACTATAATGCAGTGTAATAAAACTACTATGAACAAAAGCTAGTGGTTCATATTAGGCTAGCAATAACGTGTTTATAATTGCAATCGTATACGGGTATTCTGCTACCATACAATGTAACTTGCATGAATACATTGTTTTGCGCTAGCATACAGCTAGCCTCGTTAGCTACATGCAGTATATGTACGGTCACAATGTACGGTAAATCACAGTACAGTATACTGTATGAGTATTCCGTGTGTGTGAATGCAGACATTCTCCTGCTATGAGATACATGTATGCAAGGCCATCTGCTGATATTAGAGTTGATATATGGAAACTCTAGCAACTTAGTTAGCACAGTTAGCACTGTGTCAATGGCTTAGCAGTCCAACACAGTTTACACATTTAAACAGTCTTGTTTGATAAATACACAAATAACAATGCAAACTTACAGGTTGTATACCAAGATCTTCCCCTGCTCCAAACGGTCCAAACAAGCTGTGCATATCCGGCCTCAAACTGGGCAATGTTTTGGAAGCTTTCGTCTGTGAAATGCAGGTTCTTCGAACCTCTGGAGGAGGAACATGCCGCTGCTGGTGTGGCCATAGCTCTTCGGGATTGGTCCATTTCGTTCCGGGTACCGCATGACATCAGGCGGTACCCGGAAGAATCAAATGGGCAGTGACGTATCTCCAACGAGGCGTTTTGGGGAGGTATTTTCTGTGTTAGAGTTTTACTCGCTACAGGGTGTACTTTGAGGGTTTTGACTCTGCACACCGTTTACATGCATAAAAACCTTCATAACACACAAGGGGACGGGTAATAACCGGAAAAGCATGACATGGGAGCTTTAAATCCCTCAATGGCCTGGCCCCCCCCTACCTGTATTGTATTTATTTATATATTAAGATTGTTTACCATTTCCTTTACCAATTTTGCTGACAGGTTTATGTTTTGTACCTCAGGTCGAGGAAAATTCCAGATGTCTTCCTTGAGGAATCTCATATTCCCACTTTGACGCTCGAGTCTCCTCTGACCGTCCCTCACATCAGAACTAAACCACAGGGAGAACACAGATCTTCACTCGACTATCTGCAAAAAGATGGAAAGGACTGAACTGCATCGTGTTTGGAGGACAGGATGGATGCATCAGCTTGTGGATTAACAGGAAGAGATAGAGGGTATAACTGTATATGTATATATGAACAGATACTCTTATATAAATAATATAGACCTATATTGACTATCCACTATCTGCATGCTTAAGCTAATCCAAATGACCAATATCAAGCTTCAAATGTTGGTATTCTGAAGCTTTGGTGAACATATAAAATATTTGTATTTATGAATCAATATTTTAAAAGCAAATAATATATTTAAGGTGTATTTTACTTTTACTTATTATACTATTAAGACTGAATTTGGCTGGAAATGTACTTGCTGCTGTGATGTAACACAGTGGGATTGTAGGCATACAGAGGAAACACTGCTGATATCCGTCCTGCTATGAAACATTTGAGCAGTTTTTGATATGTACATGATATGTGCGTGTAAATGGTCTCCAAAAGCTAAAATCCCAAAGTTTTCTCCAGAGGGGGTTCTTCTCCCACACGAGAAAATCACATAAAAAGGCCCATTAACTTCCCAGACAACAGTAACGTTTTTACTTTTTCCTCTACATCCCCAAGAGATCATGATGATCAGCGATCAAAATGTAATAACGTTTTGTTTTTTCAATCTAAAATATACATTTCAGTGAAATTACCTTTGAATTAAAGCTTTTTTAACACATTGTTTAAACTGTCTATAATGCAAGAGCGGTCAAGAGCAAAAACTGCCCCTGAAGCCAAAGTGAGATTTCCTGTGACGAATGTAGCACACCAGATCAATTCGTATAGCTCACCAAGAAAAACAGCTTTAGCAAACTACACAAACCGACATAAAAGCGGTCACTTTTAGCTGAAAGTGGAACATTTCCCACTGCAATTTGAAACAAATGTCTGAGTATTTTTGGAAAAAACTTAAGGGCTTTGCAAATGGCTGTATTGATCTAACTGCTGTGGGTTAATACCCCACACAACCTGTCCAGTGTGCCTCCCAGGGTGAAACCAGTGGAAACCAAAAGGGAAAGGACCGAGGTGGAGCCTTGTTACAAATCTTTAGTGCTTTTAATTAAAAAAATAGCTACTTACTTCTCTTTCCAGCTGGGTTAGGGTTACCTGCGATGAACACTAGAGGGCAAACACTGCTGTTAGTGTTCATCTCGTTTTGTACCAAATCTGAGTTTGACACTAGTTGAGAAACTGAGAAGGGGACACACACCAGCTGATTCAGTAACACAGAATCACTGCAAGCTTACTGACGTGGAAGGAGTCCTGTAGGAGTACTGTCCTAAGATATACAGGCTAAAAAAGAAAGCCATGACTTTAATACATACGAAGAGGGAAAGCCACTCAATGAAGAACTGTTACATACTGCTTACTGAATGCTTCTCTTTTAGTTTAAATCATTTAATACACCTTTCCTGCACAGATGAACCGACCAGTCAAATGGAAATCACACTGCTCCCCACATCGTTGGTCCCCCTTTTCTTTCAACAACAAATAAAACTGCAGTTTGTACTTTATGTGTAGGTGTGGAAATGTTGCTTGCCACAATAAAAGGAAAAGAAAAGTGATGCACGGCAAATAAATAAAAAGGGAGAAAATCAGTTGAGTCTTTCTTTTCATGGTAGATAAATGGTAGCTGTGTTTGCGTCAGGACATTTAGCCTAATTTATTCATGACATGCTTATATTCATAAATAAACAACAGCAGGTAATAGCATTGTTCACTAGTTAGGTGAAACATATTGCTGGCTCCAGCTTCTCAAATTGAAATATTTGCCTTTTCGTTGTCTTTTATAATATAAACTGAACTTTTAGGATTTTGGAAACGTGGTTGGACAAAAGACGACATTTAAATCTGACAATTTAGGCTTTGGGATTTTGTGATTATGGACTTTTTTTTCCCTATACAAAACCCATTTTAAACCAAATAACAGCCACAATAATCTATAGGAAAAATAACAGTTCCCTCACAATCCAGTGCAAACATTGAGAAGGTAAAGACAGACACAGACTCAGAGATAGGCGAGCAGTTGTTGTATGTTTTAGAACTTTTCATTTCTCTCCATGGCGCCGTGTACAATCACATCTTTACAGTACATTATCAACCCCGCTACTCATCCGTCTCTCTCTCCCTTAATCCTCCCCAAACCCTGCCCCCCCCCCACTCCCCTCAATAAATATTACACCATTTTGCTATCAGCGGATGGCCATGCACAGCGTGGCCCACATGCTTCTGTTGCCGTCAGTGAAACGGAGAGAGAGAGAGAGGGGGGGGGGGTGAAGGGGAAGAGCACATAGAGGAAAGAGAGGAAGTGTGGGGGTGAGTGATGAGAAGAAGAAGAAATCAACAAAAGAGTGTGATGTTTTTACACGGGCTGAGGACAGATCGGAGTGGGATGAAACAACAGGCTGAAAATAAACGACGAAATTATAAAGATAGAAAATGAACTGAATAAAAAGAGGAGACAAGTCAGTCAAGTTAAATTTACAAACACACAAAAACAATACTGCAAAACAGATTCCCTTTTTCTTCACCCGGGCCTACTAGATTCTGGTTGGTCCTCTTGTTTGGAGACGTCCGGCCCAGTGGGACAACAGAGTAACGGACTGTTCTGGTTTTTTGATCAAGTCTACGGTGAATCCTGAGCTTTTAGGCTCTGGCTCTGTCATACAAAGAGTGAGCAACCAAACATGACGGAGAAATGTCAAAAAAGAAAAACTCAAATAAACGCTAATATGAAAATGTAACATCTGAAACATTGAGGACTCCTCATGAACACAAACGCACACATCCGTCAAGTCTTCTTCTTTGCTTGTTTTTTTCACTGCCTCTACACACATTCATCATTATTATTATTATTATTATTATTATATACTACTTTGTTTGAAACATTCAAAAAGTACTAGCATCACTATTGTCATTATTGCTGTGACCAGTAATCATTCTCGTGTCTCTTGGTCCGCACTGCAACAGCATATCAGAGCAACACAAAATACCCACCATATGACTTCTTAAGAGCAGGACAGGATTTCAGATCAAGTCATCGGTAATAATAAATACTGTAACAGTCCAGTGAGACGCAGCTTCCTGTCCAAACAAACGACCCAACACACTGAATCTGAAAAAAGTTAAAACCCTGAAAAAAGACAGGGAGGAGTGGGATGGTGTTTGAGATTAAACTTCAGGTGTGTAATTCACATCTAAAAAAAGGTGAAAACTAAAGTGTCTGGTGTTGAAATGTTCCTCATCCCCTTTGAGAGGAACAGCGGATATGTTCAACCCGGATATGGAGGAAGAAATCTGTGAAGGAAAGACCTAGAGAGGCGTCCTGCTCCCGTCTCTTTCTGGGTGTCCCATCCTCCATCTTGTTTTCAGCAGGTGTTCACTAAAGAGACTAACTGTTCCCAGGACCAGGAGGACGAGCTCCCGCTTTCCAGAGTCATTGTTCCCTGTGAAATGCTGCATGTCCAACTGAAGTCTTTTGAAGTCATGAACATTTTGAGGTTCTGAAAATTAAGGAGGTCTGAATTAAAGTTTTTCTGAAGCGCGGTTAGCCATTTTGAAATGTCTCTGAGATAGTTGAGTCGTGGATGGTTTGGAATGGGCCCACCAGTGGCCCGTTTCCAAACCCTACGTACAGGTGACTTGCAGCTGTAGGTGAGTTATTGCTGTGGTCCTGAAAGCGCCCAGTCAGAAAGAGTTCACTGAAGATGTTACTGGTTGAGGCTGAAGGCGAACGTCGCCATTTCAAGTCAGTCAGGCGAGGAGAGTTGTGGGTAATGTAGTCCCCTCCGTCTCCCTCTTCTGGTATTTGATTTGGAAATGTGAAAAATAGCAAACTGTGCTGATCAAAGTCGACCAGCGGCACTCTTTTTTAAAAGTCTACCCCCCCAGGGCGTGTTCAGAGATTGGGGGGGGGGGGGCTCAGGCCTCAGTCATTGGCTCTGTGATGGTTTCATCCTGCTGCACCTCTGGGACCACAATGCCATGGTGGAGCTTTTCTAAAGAATGCTTCATCTGGGAGATAAACATGGATGGGGGTGAGAGAAAGGTTGGGTGAGATATGCTGTTTGTACTGTCTTTCAATCATACTTTCTATATGGATGATGCTTTTCTGTATTTGTTAAGCACACTGTATTGCCCATGTGCCCAAAATGTGATACAGAAATAAACTCTCTAGTGGATTACATAATGCAGTAACGATAAAGCACACGCCGTTTGTGAGGCACATGAGCTTTCTTGCTGACTGGTTTCTGCGGAGGTAATTACTTACAAACGGGTCAAATTAACACACACACACACACACACACCTGGTCAAGAAGCGTGACAGAGGACTGCAGGATCTGCTGCCACTTGCTGAGCTGAGCCTGGTGGAACTGCCTCTGAAGCTGCAAAACCTGAGCCCACTCCTCAGCTGTCTGAGGCAAAGGACTGCAGAGAGGAGGGAGAAGGAGGGAGAAGGAGGGAGAAGGAGGGCGAAGGAGGGAGAAGGAGGGAGAAGGAGGGAGAAGGAGGGAGAAGGAGGGAGAAGGAGGGAGAAGGAGGGAGAAGGAGGGAGAAGGAACCGTCATTACAACTTCAGAAAGCAAATAGTCAGCAGAGTATTCATGGGTCTTTAACCTGAACCAGCAGTTTGTCCACGAGGGGCTAATAAAAACGAACTGTATACTCAACACTGATATTTTTACTTTTGTTCGTAAGAAGGAAATACAGACGTTTATCAACACATTCAGAAGGAGCAGAGCAGCATTAGTAATACTCAAAGTCTAATATTCGCTCTCCCCTCAGCTCTGTTTGGTGTCCAGCAACTCCTGACGTGAATATCTCTTTAGTTGCTAAACGCTCCACCTCCCACATGTTACTTAGTCTGTCTGCTGTACAGTTTATACATTTTATTATTAAATATATTCCCTGCACTGAGACAAGTGAGAGTGAAGTAACCCGATAACTTGCAGGATGTTAAACCAAAATGAGAGGAAAGAAATCAAAATGATGCACGGAGTCAGGTGGTAACACATTTTCGTTTTTTAATGTGATCTATCGTTGATATTGATAAAATAATAATTAGGCTTTCATCTTCTAAAGGCACGAGAGGAGTTGCTGCTATGGAATATCTGAGGGATATATATCACAACTCAAATCCCACAAGGACACGTTGAGGCCACGCACAGCAATTACCTCACAGCAGGGAGTCTATGCTGGTATAGAACGTGGTGTGGTGTGTTTACCTGTCAGCAACAGAGTAGGAGTGCCATGTCTCCAGTGTATGGGCCGCTCTTTCCAGAGCGTACAGTTTGTAGAAGAGCAGCATGTTGAGAGCAACCAGCACCACCAGACTGACCGGGACGAGAGGGAAGAAAATGGTCTCATTTATCAACGGCTTTCAAAGTGCTTCAAATCAATATGAAAACAACAGTAAGATATGAACTGCAAAATGAAAATATCAATACTACTGACGAAAAAAGAGGGTGGAGAGGAATATTTTAGTGTTTGTCAATTCACAACACTGCACTCGTTCACAACACACTTACATTTATTTGGAGGAAAAATCCACCCGCCACTAATGTCCCTCACAAAAGAACAGAATATGGTCCTACTGTGTTGCATTCCTCTAGAAATATAGAACTTCTTAATGCTCAATTTGAGTGCATCTTAAGGGTATCAAAGGGTGGATTTTTCCTGTGTCATTTACAAAGTCCTTATTTTAAGCAGCCAGCAGTATAAAAAGCAAATCCTGTCATACGAACCTGATACAGATCCTATTCACAAGTATTGCAGAGAGAAAGGGAAAGAGAAATAGCAAGAGAGGCATTGTGAGGCTGTTAGTATGCAGAAGATTGATATCCAACATGTCTGAGTGAAGGAGCATTCAGATGTGGATAGAACCAAGACAGCAGAAAGCAGATAGAATCAGAAATACACAATCAAACCTGGGATTTGATCAAGTAGGAACTCATGAATTCCTCTATATTATATAGATATTAATATACGAACGGACATCCTGTTTTACCGAGGAGTTGAAAAACATGCAAGGACGCACACATGCTTTGTGTGTGTTGCTGTGCACACAGGAAGTCCCTTTCTTATATAACATAATCTTTATTTATGAATGCTCTTCTCTGTTTAAAGTAAGTCATTGTGTGTAAGATAACTCACGAATAAGACATGAGATTCATAACATTGTGGTGCAGTAGACACATAAAACATGCTAAATCAACCTTGAGTTAAAAACAGCCAGAAAAGGCTGCCAGTATTCATGGACTCAATGCCACGAACACACACAGTACACACAGCACACACAGTACACACAGCACACACAGTACACACAGTACACACGCTTAAACTTACATGAAGCTCACGATGAGGAGGATGGTTGATATACTGTTGGGTCCTCCACCACGCGAGCGCTCTCCTAGTTTTATAAACTGACCACCTGAAAAAATAGACAAATGACAAGAAATATTTTCACTGAGCATTGTGTTGATCAATGTGATAATTAAATTAAATTCCACAAGTTACCCCAAATCCTAAATGTTGTCCATTATATTCTCCTTAAGGATTTATATAAGGTACAGTACCTAAACTAGAATTGTCTAGATTCTCAAAGCCTTTATCATCACCACATCTAGAAATAAAATGAATGCAAAGTGTACAGAATTCCTTTGTACAGTGTATCAACAGCAATACATGTATAATGCCATTTCGTTTTTTACTAGCTGTTCATAAGAACTTTAAATGTTTTGATCATGATTATTTAATGCTGCTTAGCAAGACCTCTGGTTTGAGACGGCCGGAGACATTTTGGAATTGCTCAATTTAAAATATTAGAAGATTTTTAGTTTACATTTAGTAGAAAACAGCGGATTGTGATGAAAAACAAGCATTCTTCAATGAGTGTACTCAAATTCACGCATATTCCTCACCTTAAAAAAAACAGCTAGCATTTAAAAACAATTTCAAGACTTTGTACTACCGTCACTTCCACCCTTAAATTAATTATCCAAATATGAAATCATGTTCAATCAGTTATCCAGAGACAGCCGTAGTCTAGGTCGACTGTGATGAAGACACAAGAGCTGCAAATAAATGACGGTGCTTGAGTCTCTTTTTTAAGGCAATAGTTTCTGTTTTCTGTTTCTGACTCTAAAACAAACCACTACATGGCAGTATTGCACGGAAGATATATTCAGGCTTTTGGCACGAGCTTCATTGTTGGTGGCAATGATTTAAATTCCAAGCGCTGACCCAAAGCTTTTGACTGTTTCCCTGGACTTACTGGCTTCTCTCCGGTCCCGGTCCTCCCCGACTCCTCGGTCCCCTCGGTCTCCTCCGCCCATGCCTCCTCCTTCCCTCTCCCGGTCCTTGTCGCCCTGCCGTCGAGAGCATGTGCGTTTGCGGCGGCGCTGAGACGGGGGAGTCTTGGCAGCATCCGCACCCACTGCTTCGCCTGTGGTAACCACGGTAACCTCTGTTTGCATTAGCGTCTCGAGTTTGATCACTTCACTCTCTGCAAAACGAAACAATGAAGGATTTTAAACGTAAGGTTGAGGTTCAAATACTGGCAGAACACATTTTAAGGAAAGAAAGTACATACTAAATGAGAAACAAAACTTCTAAATGCTTCACTAAATACTTTTTGACACTTGTTAATGTATACAAGCATACTAAATGAGAAAACAAAACTTCTAAATGCTTCACTAAATACTTTTTGACACTTGTTAATGTATACAAGGGCACATTTTTGCCTTATTTATGTAATAGTTTAAGTGTGTGTGTGTGTGTGTGTATTGTGTGGGCAAAGCTCTTGTAAGACAATGTGAAAACCATAAACTCATGTTTGAACAATCTATTACAAAGGGAAACTTTGAAGATTAGCAAGAATCTTTGTATCAACATAATATTTGAGTTCACCGACAGTTCACTGCCTTTCTACCAGATAAAGTCTAGTTTTTGCCAGTTCTAGGGCAGTTGTTTGAACTACAGATTGAACAAAAAGTACAATCCTGTAATCTACAAAACATCTAGTACACTTGCTGGCAAATGCTGGAGGACTAACGACCGGATACAAGATAATTGTGCAAGGTTTTACATCTCTGCATCATACTTGCAGAGTAATTGTAATGGTACTATGATTGACAAGCTAGAAGTGATTTCAAAATCCTGCTCATGCATATACATCTTGGTACCACTTTACAATAAGACTACCCTTATAAAGGGTTTACAAATAGTTTGTAATACATTTATTAATTAGGTTGTGAACACTTTATAAATCCTTAATAAGCTTTTATAAGACATGAGATAAACAGGGCTTGCCAAATAGTGAGCCCACATGTATCTGTGCTGCTAAGCCTTATTAGAAATGGTTGTAACTCATTAATACATGGTGATTTGTTTCACACTTTACAATAAGGCTCCCTTTTGGCAGTTATAAATGTTAGTAAGTCGTAAATAAATGGTCATAAAGAGATGCCAAGAAACATCAAGATGGAAGGGGGGGAATCAACTCGGTGAACAACAGATACCAAGGATGCTGGCTGATGAAGACGACGAATAGGTAGCCACTATAAGGCTTAGCCATCTTGCCAAAGTGAGCCTGTGTTGATGTATGAAAACTATGTTAGAACTGGTTTATAAATGGTTCTTAATGATTAATAAAGTGTTTACAACCTAATTCATAACCTAATTATAAACCCTTTATGAATCCTTTATAAGGGTAGTCTTATTGTAAAGTGGTACCCACATCTTAAAGTCGACACAGAGAAACTTTCCAGCTTCAGAAGATAAATGAGAAAACAACCTCCTAATGTCAAACTATGCACACATTCAATCTGAACACTGAAGCTCAGTGCAGTGGAGAGACGATAAACAGAACACATTTTTGAGTGAAGGAGGAATTTAAAAACAATTAAAGCTATTTAAAAACCTTTTCCGTATAGATTGTATTGTGTTCAAGGTTCAAGGTTCTTTATTTGTCAAACGAACATACTGTAGCTACAGTGTAGTTATGTCGATGACAATCTTGTGTCACAGGTTTCTCCAACAGAGCAACACAAAACACAGATACACAGACAAATATAGTAAATAGTAAATCCAAGCAGAAAAATAGTTTAAAAAAGTGAAATAGTGCAATAAGAGTCTACATGCAAGTCATTGAAATATGATATATTAGGTAAATAGATCAATCATTTCTAAGTAGCAGCCAGATGAATGTTGTGGATGTTGTTTCAACAGTTCAGGTGTTTAACAGTCTTATTGCCTGTGGGATGAAACTGTCCCTGAGTCTGGTGGTTTTAGTTCCAACAATCATTACTAACTTTAAAAGCCTTAATCTGTGGAAAAAGAACAAGTACAAGGACTTTGGCCACTTACTCTCGTCTTTTATATAGAAAAGAGAAAGTAGTAGTGACTCACACGTGTGATACTAATAGGGGTAAAGTAAGCTTGCTAACACATTCAAGCTACAACACTCACAAATGGACATTATGTATTGTGGTCTGCAATATGAAACTGTGCATTTGGCTCTCATGTGGAGTGTGTTCTGCTCACACAGCTTCACTTTACTTTTGTTCACTTATTCACAAAAGGGGAAATAAGGCTGAATAGGGTTTCCAAAGTCTGTGTGTATACAGGGATAAGCTGGAGGCGGACCATGTGACTCACCCACGTGTCTGTAGTACTCCTCTATGCCGCTCCAGGTGTTCTTCTCTATCAATGCTTTCACCAGGCTCCACGGCTGCTTCCTGTAGCAGATGTCTGAGGAAACTCTGGGCAAAGGAAGAGAAAACAAACACATGTTTAATATATATATATATACATCAATATGGACAAACACAAAGAAAAAGCTTTCACATTCTGTATCAAGGACAACTTCTGCTTTACATCAGTACTGTTCTCAGTTAGTGATAGCATACATTTTCCATGACTTCAACCCGTGCCTGATAACAAGCAGGGACTTGTGCAGATGGCCAGCGAAGATTCTTGCAATTCCTACAATCTGAACAATTTAACCCGGATCAATCAGTCAGCTCGGGGTTTTTACCTAAGGACTTTAGTCAACTGATTTCCTAAGACATCAAAGCAAGTTCCAAAGCAAGTGGATTATACTGTCGGTGATCAGTAGAAACTCAATACTAGAGCAGCTGCTCAGCTTTATTACAGGGTATATGCAGGAATCCTGAAGTCAAATGTAATACCTTTTAAGACCTTTTTTAAGACCCTTTCCATACATTTTAAGACCTCATCGTCACTTTCGAGTTTTAACCGGTTACATTGGCGACACACTTTACCTCACATTTACTATATGCAGTATTGATTGTCCTTCCTCCTTATCTTCCAACCATTTGGACGCAAACTTGCATTTCCCCATAACGACATGTTAAAACAACCGGCGTAAACGGACCTTTCGCGCGCTATCAAGCAGTGAGCGTGCGATGTCCTGTTCAGATGACGTCAAATCCAACGGGATGCCATAAATAAACTACACAGAATCACACTACACACCTACGCAATGAATACATTCAGGCAGACTGTAGAATACTACCTCTTTGGACAATTTATATACTTATTGAAAACAAGCTACAAAATGTAATACCTTGGAAAATGTTGTTTAATATTTTTTAATAGCCTTAATTTTCGCTAAATTGATTTATCAACTTTTAATACTTTTTAAGACCCCGCGGACACCCTGTATCAGATGAGTCCCTGTTCATAACTCTTTTAATGCTCTTGAGCTTTGATTCAGTGTTTCTTTTGCACCTCCACATATATGTTTGCACCCAGCCTATTCACTTCATATTCATACCCCACTGATATATACTGGGTTCTGCTTTTACACCCTATATTGTGTTCAGTTAAATTCATTAAATTAAGCTAGTGTCGTTTTTCGTCAATGAAGAGACAGCACCAACATCATTATGACTATATCCACATGTAATATTGTTGAAGAGAAAAAGAAGGAACTAAACTGTGGTTTAGAAACAAGCTGATATGACAACATTTAGTGACATTTCAAATACAACCTGATTAATACAATTAAAGATTACAATAGTTTCTGTAGACTAAACTGTTGTTTTACTTTGAACTAAAATGCCCAGTTTTTAAAAATCTTGCTTAAAAGAGGCAGTTATTTAACACTAACAGGATCTAATCGACAAGCTCTCAAAGGAAAGCAACACATTCAACACGAGCGTCATGCTGAGTGTGATTGACACATCTCGCTTTTCTCTTGGCGGTGGATTTTAAACAGTCAATGGGTGAGCTTAGAGGTGAACAAAATGCCACTCACGATGCTTGAACCAATAAGACAAGAGCAAACGTACCTGAGGCGACTCTTGTTTTTGTTCATGGAGGTGAGGCAGTATCTGTGGACGGTGTAGAAGTAGTCCTGGTAGGGGATCCCTGAGGTGATGACCTCCGAGTCCACCACGAAGCACTCACCCCGCGCGCTGTTTTTATGCAATGTCTGGAAGCAGGAAGAAAGTGGAGGGTACAGTATGGTATGCTTGGTTTCCTCTGATACACAACAGAAACATTTCAATCTACAGTTATGGCAGTGGCGAACCGTGTCTATCACAACTGGACCTTCTGTAGACACACACACACCCCCCGCCGCCGCAGGGCACAAAACCACTCAAATGCGTAGTGCATGGATCAAAAAAGTCAAACAAATCAACGTAACACTGTAATATTACAAATCAACAACAGATACGTTTCTCATTTATTCATTTTATTTACATTTGATACAATTGTATTTATATAATTAAATCGATTTTTGGTTTGTTTTATCTGAGTGTTCCAAGGCCCTGACGGTTCACCACTGAGTTATGGCATATTGGTAGATAATGAATTCAGAGCTCTAAAGACACCAGTATGCTTTGTTGCTCTCCTCACACTTTTTCAACATCCAAAAGGAAGGAAGGGGGCTGTTTTTGACCATTTCTGTAACTTTCTGAAACAATTACGCCACCATGGTAAGCTTATGTTGAGAAAATGAACTCTCACAGTCTCTTTTTCTATTCTTCACTTTACTTTTTCCATCACTCTTATTGTAAATAATCCTGGGCAAAAATGTACGTCTTGCAGGAGAAACCATACCACATCTCCTCTCATCTTAATGACAGCTGGCTCTTCTTTCCACCTGAGAGTTTCATATTGATTTTATGGCACAACCTGGCCTTCCGCCTCTCTGTGTGCGTCTGATCTTTTCTGGTCCATATTCAGTATAGACCGTAATGTGTAAATGTTTCAGGGATATGTTAGTCTGTGTTACAATGAATGCCAGTTCGTATTGTTGAGTTGTCAAAAAACATTTGCGTAATATATACCACACGGATATGTCCCAACATCTTGACGTTTTTTAAAGAAAATTTGACTAATTATGAAACCAAAACATTTTCTCAATATTCAAAATGTTCTTCTACTTCACAAAATATCACCATCTTATAACTAGTTTTTATAGCAGAATTATGTTTTATTCTTTTTAAGAGTGTAGATTTTTTATTTCTGAATGGAGTTTAAGATTTTAAAGCTGAATTGTTTTTGTAACGTGTATACTTATTTGAAGTACTGGTGCCTGCACTGGATCCCTAACTGGACCCAAACATTACAAAGCAAACATTTACAAAACTTCACAGAGACATAACGACATGCATTATAGAGGAATGTCCCCTCCATTCAAAGCTAAATAAGCATTGGGTGAAGCCTGTGGACTGACCTGCGTCTCCACCACGGGGGCCGTCTTGGGGCCGAGGGGGTTGTTGAGGGCGATGGTGTAGCTCAGCACACGGCTCGTCGTCCCACTGCTGATGTCCGGCTGCCATTCACCCACAGAGAGGTCTAGAGGAGAGAGAGACAAAGAGAGAGAGAGAGAGAGGGAAAATTAGCACGTCAAGAGCGAACAAATGACAGAAAGTCCAAAAAAAGTGGTTAGGGTTAGTGTGCTTTTTGTTAAAGATTGTATTTATAAATAATGAGAGAGACCAAGACATTTAAAAGGATTAAAGGGAGTGAACAGCATGTCCATCCACACTCTTGCATTAAAAAAGGAAGAAATAAATGCCCCAATTAGAGCTACACAATGTCCCCAAGTGGGCTGGGCTTTCAACTGGGGTAGACACTGAACACATCAACTCCAAAGCTTCACCTCTGACGTCGTTCAAACTACTGCAGAAACAAGGTTTACAATATACACTATGCAAAGATGACCTCCGGTGAAGATACATAGAAAATAATAGGATTACAGTGGCAAAGCAGGACATTAAAAAACCAGTAATGGAGGGCGGTTAACGCAGCGTAAACAGATATTGTGGCACGCTCATTAGAAGCACAACACGCTACAGCAAGTCTTTGAGGGCTGGGTGGTCCTCACACGGCTGCTCCGTTATGGCAAACATATTGGGTCAATATTGAAAAACTTGTTTCACTATTGTTAAAAAGCAAAATCTTCATAAATATTTGATTAATAGCACAGCCCCATTACTTCACTGCTTTGTGTTCATCAGCTGGACCGAGGAGCACAGCTGCTTCATGTGAGCAACAAATATACCTTTAAAAAGCAAAAACATCAGCACACATTAAAAGATGAAAAGTAAAGAGGTTTGCTAGTGTACTTTTTATTTTGCTACTGGATATCCAATATTGACTATAAACAAAGTCAGTATTTTTTGCATTTACAGTATAAGACACCAATTAAAATGAATTTGACAAATTCTACAAATATTGCGTGTCTTTGCATCAAAATTGTAATTTACAAACTTTTATTTTGGGCATGTATCTCTACCGCAGGATTGCAAACTTGTGGCTAGCTGGTTTGTGTACAACACACAGGGCTGGCTTTAAACAGGCAGGAGGCGATGTTAGCCATCTGTGATGTAAAAATAATTGAGATGCATATTCCAAATGCACTGCAGACATGTTCAAAGATGTTAAAACCTGAAAAATATCAGCTACATTCAGAATATCCAAACAAAATATGCTGTAAAGCTGAGCTGTTACACATTCTGAATAGTATTGTATACTTGTGTGCTTCCTGTTAAAGTAGATATGTTTGATTATATTATATTTACTTCTATTGTTTTTGCCTTTTTAATCTGCTCTGTTCCCTTTGCTGTTGCATAAAGATATCCCCAAGAAAATGATATCCGATTCTGATTTCTGATTATTCTGAATTACAGTGGAATAGTAGAGTGCATGTAAACATTGTGACTGTAGCAACCACACCAATAGGTACTGGCAGTGCACCAAAAGTCAATGTCAAACATCAGGTTCTGCTATCAGACACAAAGAAAGCAGAGCAAGTTATTTTTCAACTGACAGCAGCCTCACTAGTCCAATAAGCAGCAGAGCGACTACAAACAATGAGCCTCAACCGTCGCCGTGTCAACAGGAAAAACTGGCTCTCATGCGTTTGCTCTTATGAAACAAGTTAATGCAAGTTATGAGCTGAATTAAAGGTAGGGTAGGTAAGGTAAGAATGGAGTAACCAGCTCGAGTTCGCTAGAATTTGAAAGTACACAACCGAAATAAATCTGCCCCTTCCTTCAGACTTCCTTACAGAGCCCCTCCTCCAACACACACATGACCAATGAGGGCACGAGATACATTTGTGCACAGATGGAAGGCTGACAGGCAGGTAGGCCATCCAGTTATTTTAATAATAATTGGTCGTGCTTTTTACAGCGCTACGGCTTCCACAGATTACATTTTTTTATGTATTTATTGTCAAAGCATTTAATATATTCATTGCTATCGGGATGTTAAGAGCATTCCATGGAATATAACAACAAGTGTTTCTGAAGTGAATTACCTACCCCACCTTTAATTCTGGGCAATGTAGGAACAGCACATAATTATCAAAGCTGAACAGTTTCACAGCATGAGAAAGAGCTCCCAAAGATCTCTTAAACATCGGTTAAATTACCCAATAAAAACGAAAAGTACCTTATTAAATCACTAAAATTCAACAGAAGTAGTTTAACCATAGGGAAAATTCTGTAGAACCAAATATTAAGGATGTGTATTGGCTCAAATCTGGCCAAGCCACACACAACATATCATAAAGGGGTAACAATTCAATATTATTATTAGATATATTGCAATACTGTAGGCAAGGCAACACATTGCGATGTGTTGCAATGCTGTAAGCCAGGCGATATATTGTTATATCTAATTTCAGAAAAGTTCTTATAGTATAAAGCACTTCCCTATCCAGAACATACGAATTAAACGTGTTTTATATGTAAAAAGGACTGTGGTATCTGCATTTGCATTATCAGTCACTGCACAATTCATCACAGCAATACTATATTGCCATCTGAAGCATTGCCACGGATCTTGAACTATTATAAATTGATACAGTATCATAAAACATAATCGTGATAATCAAAGATATCGATAATTTCTCACACCCCAAGCAGTCACAAAGTGTTGACCATCATACGTGTGTGTGTGTGTGTGTGTGTGTGTGTGTGTTTGACCTACCAGTAAAGTGTCGCTGGGAGAAAAGGTGCCGGATGAAGTGTGTGTCCGCGGAGAAGAGCAGGTCGTGCAGCTTGTCCACACTCATGCGGACCGGGGCGTTGATGTGCAATCGCCCGCACAGATTAGCGCAGAACGACTCCACCTCACCTGGAGGTCAAGAATAAAAACACAGATTATTTACTCTTCTTTCAATCTTATTTTGACTCAATATTTGTCAATGTGTGTAAATATTTATTAGTTATTTAGAGTTATAAAACGGACAAGTCAAATCAAGCAATCTGATTGGTTCTTAGCCGTGATATAATGAGCGTATATCACGGGCAGAATTGTAGTTACTTTTCACAAGTCATGTATCCCTCTGCGTCTGAGAAAAGCTACAACCGTTACAACTGTTACATTACGTCCGTTACGAAACTAACTAACTAACAAAGCTTAAGATGGAAACATTTAAGGTTAACTTCGAGCTCCGGGGTGGCCTTACTATGGAGGAGTGGATTGAGCAGTGCCTATCTCCAGAAAAAAAAGCACCTAAACGACGACATGCAGAGCTACGTGAAGAGCAGGTAGACCAACTGTCTGGAGAAAGTGGAGCAATATTCTCGCCACGCCAAGCAACAGCCTAGTACAACCTCAGCCTAGTACAAGTAACCTCGTAAGCCATTCTAGTGATGCTGGACAGTTTTTCAGTGGGTGCACAATAAACGGCAACATACAAATTCATGTAAATAAATAGCCAAATAATGGATCAACGCTGTCTGTCTAAGATGTTCGCTAGCTGTTGCATAGCAACCACCTCGCACTATGTTTCGTGCAGAAGGCAACGGAGGGACTATTTTATTTTGAACATCATTATTTACTAATAAAAACTATTTAAATTAGAGTGTATATTTTTCTTTCATATCGCCACACTTGGTAACCGTTTTATAAAAGCAATAGCTCACTTCAGGCCGTGATATATGGTCATTATATCACAGCTAAGGGGCGTGGTACGGCCCGACGCCCATATACCACGGCCTGTCGTGAGCTATTGCTTAATCATAAATCCTTTGCAGGTCCAAGCTCTAGAAATACATCCAAATATAATGTTGAACTTTTGACATCAAATGTAAACAGTACGTGATTTACATATAATGTTTTAGAGATACGTTTGACATTTCAATAATCACACTTACTCTCTCTGCACTTTATTGCCAAATGCTTTAGAGGAAACCCAGATTGTCGCTATATGTCTTGTTATTCCTGAATGTGCAGGTTTTTTTTTAGTAGTTTACACATTAACATATTCCACTAATAAATATGCTTTGATATTAAACTATTTTATTAACTTGGAGGCAGGTTTAAATCAGTCATCTGACAATCTGCCTTGACAGCATGCATCAACTCCCAAAGGAATGATTTGATCTGGACAGATTAAACCGCGGAGCAGTAAATATCTCTGAGTTAATGTTTGAATAATCTTCCCGGTGAGTTTTTGTAGAAGGAAGAAGAGATGGAAGCGATGAGGCAGAAAGAAGCATATTGGGGGTCAGGAGGACGGGACAATAAGAGAACTACTGAATAAATCATCTTTAGCACCTTTGAAAAGACAAGGTTAGCTTACAGTCAGATTGAGCGAACAACCTTAGGAGAGCGCAGTACATTAAATAAAGAGGACACAAGTATTGAGGATAGCATAAAGTCCTATGAGAACAAATATGTTTAAAGACACAATAAATGCTGAATCAGCTACAAGTTGCGTTGTGAATGTCCCTGATTTTTTGTTGAATCAATTAACGAAGTACATCATTAAAAATAAATGTAACAATGTTCATTGTAATCTAATCTTCGTATACATTTCATCACAACTGTTCTTAATGGTCATTTCATTGAAAGCACACTCACTCTCTTCTTGCGTGTCAGAGGAGTTGCTGGGGTCTGTGGGCAGTTCTTCATCGATGGTGATGTCCAATGAGGAGAGGTTTCCCAGACTGGAGGTTGGCGGGGGCAGCATGTGATTGGTTGACTCTGACCAGCTGTCCCCACCCTCTTCCAGACTCTGATGCAGTGAGGGGGAAAAAAGGCACACCAGAGGACAGTCAGCAAGAGGTTTGTAGGGAAATCACCCCATTGTCATATGACTCTAGAGGAAAGAGGCCTCTGCTGAGCTGACCTCGTGTTGACTGAGCAGACATACCACTGCAGCCGAGCAATTCATCTGAAACCGACACACAGTCAACACAGCACTGCATTTATTCTCTTCAGCTTGGCTCGGGCTTGATCCGTTATTATCAAGATTAAGACTGCAGTGGAGACAACCACAGCAACTGTTTTGGGGGTAATGGATTGGACATAGAAGCAACCAGACCAACAACTCAGTATTCACCATCCTTACTTAAACACGTCATAAATTCCTTGTTTTATATTTTGATCTATTGCATATCATTCCATTTTATTCAGTTTCATGTGATTTTCATCTGTTTTCATGTTGATCTAATAATGCATTATATAAGCATAGTCACGTTAAAAAGGTATTTTACAAATAAGTCTGCAGTACTCGACATGATTGCTTTTTTAAATCAAGCATTTGTTTTGTTTAAGTGCAGAGAGGGCCAAATGTGTACAAAGGCCAAATCTTTGAGCATGGTCATTTGGTTGAAGAGCCAGTGAAGAGTTAATGAAGGAGAACAATTACAGCAGATTCAAGCAGAACATCAATTTGAGTGTTAGTACTAAGCACTAATAATGCAAGCTTGTACTGGATATGCATGTGTACAAAAGTGATTTGTTAATCAAATACAACATGGATCACAGATGGCATGATATCATTATTCACACGTCGGCATTAAATACACACCAGATCCACCACATCCATCCGTTTCATGCAGTGTGAACAGTGTTGACACAGCATACAAATGTGTTACAGGTTTAGATTTCTGTGTTTTCTAATTTGTTTTACCCAAAAAGCAACAATATTACTTTAAGTCAAAGGTTGAAAACTGATAGCTGCCACATGAACTGTCTTGAGTCACATCAGTCCAATCAATCTTGACGTGAATAGTTGCATAAGCGCTGTGCTGCACTTTATGGGACTGTTGTGATAATGTGTCCTCAGTCTCTACGTGGTCAGCTGGTTCTAACCACAGTATGTAGTGAATATAGCTGTCAACAAATACGACGACGATGTATTATCTCTCGTGTCGAGAGGTGAAGCCATGAATCTTCTTTATTCAGTCATCCCTGACACGAAGCTAATGCTAGCATGCAAACATCAGGCTGGTGTTTTGAAACCAAAACATTGCTAAATCTGTTGATTTAGTGCAGGGAGTGTTCTGCTCTGTCTGTGATATATCTGATTATTGAAGTGGAAGTCTCAACTCTAGTGGAAGTATTTGAACCAACAGTCCACAGTGTTTTTTTTCTCATACTTTTAGTTTTTCTTTATGCAAAAACAATGACAGCCTTGGATATGGTGCATGTCTTTTTCTCAAGGATCCTGTAGATAAAGTTATTCAAATAAGCCATTTAATGAGATTAGACTGCATAACACTGAATTGGAGACTAGTTTTTGTTGAATGCCAGTGTGTGTGTGTGTGTGTGTGTGTGTGTGTGTGTGTGTGTGTGTGTGTGTGTATGGAGTTTCGAGAAGAACACTCACAAAGGAGGCAGCAGCAGAGGCGGGTGCGGAGGCCGAGGCGTTTGTGGGAGTGGTGGACGGCAGCGAGCTTTGGGAGCTGGGCGGGCTCTGATCGAGGGGGTCAGAGCTGAGCCTGCGTCCAGAGGAAGAAGGCACCTCTATGGGCAGACAGGAGGCGGAGGGGGAGGGGGAGGGGGAGGGGGAGGGGCAGGGGGAGGGAGACGAGCCCCCGAGGTTTGTAGCTGCGAGAGGGCTGGCTGGACCGCAGGGCAGGGGAAGGGGAGAGCTGCCCGTAGAGGGAAGCGACACTGAGCTCAGGTCGAGTAGATCTGTAACTGACACTGACTCGTCTCCTGGCCTAGGGAACGAAGAGAGAGGAAGTGAGAGTGTGTGAGACAGAGACACATAAGAGACACTCTGAGAGAGAAAGAGCCATTGTTTTGTTAAAGTGCTTAAGGGGAAAGAAATCTTTAACAACAAAAATCAATTAATAGAGTTTTTGTGCCGGCGATATAAATAGCACTGAAAAATATTGTACTTTTTAAAGATTGTTCTTTTTGGCGACTCTCCCTTTTTGTAATATGAGATAGTATTGATGTTCATCCATACATTCATTTAAATAGAAGTTATATAAATTCCCAATGCTAGCAAATAAAGAGACAGCACAGTTAATGATGCATAGTAGTTGTCTTGAATTAGAAAATGAATAGTATTTATTATAATAAACAAAGAAAAAAAAGCCGATTCATTCCCTAGCCAACTCAAGCATTACTTAAAGACTTAAATGACCAGGCACACAATATCCCATCCCAAAAGTATTACTTTTTCGGTTAGTTAAGTGTGTTAACATGCACACAAACATCAACGATAGCCTTACACAGCCCCTAAATGACATTTGTGCACCACACAAACACTCACAGTAGGCCGTTCATGTGCTCGGCGGTGGGGGAGACATAGTCGTCGTCTTCACTCGTGAGGCCTAGCTCAGTGCCGTAACACTGGTGTACGATGTGCCACAGCTCTTTGGGAGATAGAGACTGCAAGACAAACACAATATTCTTATTCAGTAGATTATAAGGCAAATTAATAAAACAAATGGATTATTAATGGTCAGGACACAGCCACTTTAATTTCAACATAATACAGTGAGTGCATTCATAAGGGTCGGGCTTTACATAAGATGTATCTTTCATAACCAGGGACATTTTATCATCATATGTTGGGCTTTTCTTGTTGCAAGGCTGTAAGATCAGCTGCTTTCCATTACGTTATTATTATATATACATAATATCAGCAAAAAGGGACGTGGCATTTGACGATTTCTCTTAACAGAGTCATCCTGTTTAAAAGCATTTTGCAGATGAAACATTAGGTCGATGTATTCCCTCTGGCAACTGTCATGTGCTTCATTACTATGCTGCTGGGTTTCTTCACTGGTGCTGTCCAAATAAATGTCTATACTTAAAACGCAGCAAATAACAGTGATTTAAAATGTTCTCCCAAGCCTGTGTTTGTGGCCATCTCCTGCTTATTCACACTCGGTTCTATTCTAAGATGTTAACTACTAGCCGTGCCACAACAGGCAGCGGGATAAAGCGGCAGGAGGGTGGGAGAGGAGATTATACCTTGTCCAGCAGTGCGTTCTGCCACAGACGGAAAATCATCATGAAGCTGCGATCCCTTGCTCCGAAAGATGTGAAGAAGTGCTGAGAAAGGGAATATCAGGGGGACAGGAAGAGGAGTCGGAGGAAGGAAGTCAGAAGAGAAATGTGATTTGACTGATCCCTCTGTTGGGATGTTTGCTTTGAGACAGTCAGTGGAGATAAGGTTGAGTCAGCTCATTTGATACTGCTTGACTTGCAATAAAAAGGATCAGTTAGGGTTAACTGTATCAACAGTCAACACTTTTTCATGCTTTTGGAGCAGCAGTTAACTTGACAGATAGAGAATGTGTTAAAAAATGACATATTTGCTTTTGGTATTACACATTAAATTAAAAGTCCTAATTTCTTTAAAGATGGGCCAAACTATGGCTCAATCTTAAGTGTAATCGAGTCTGACCTTCTCATTGTCAGTGCTGATCTGGATGGCGTTTGGGATGAGCTTGGCAGTCTTCTCCTTTGTCATAGAGGTCACGTCTTTCAGCAGGATAGTGATCTGTATGGAGGAGAGAGATTTGCTGTGTGAATGCTTCAGTGTGCGATAATCTTATCTCACTAAGGGCCTGAGCCTATCTGTATTGATCTGCAAACAAGTGCATTAAAAGGACTTCTTATCTGATTGCAGGTGTGACATGAACCAGGTTACAACAGTCATTTGTTTGATTGTGCGCGTGCAAATGTGTACACAGTGTGTGCATGACTTACAGTGGTTTCCCAGCGGAAGATGTTACTGTAGAAACAAAGCCAATTCTCCGACAGATAAAGGCGGCCCTGAAGCAGTATGTCCTTCTGCAGAGCGCACGAGTAGTCTGAGGAAAGAAACAGGAAACAGACAGATCAAATTAATAGAAAGAGACAAATCAAGAGGTTGTTTTTTTAACTAAGTCTAAAGTGTGGTGACAGACGTAGCTCGATCGGCATGAGCTCAGCACACAGAGATGAATATGTACGACCACTCAAGAGTCTCACTCACCCACTATAAGTCGCTCTGTGTCAGGAAGTTTTTTAAAGAGTTTACGAAAATCTTCGTTCCGCTGTTTGTATGTAGGACTGAGAACCTGAGGGGAGGACAGGAAATTAGAACATTGTATTCTACTTCACAAGTACCCGACGCAGCAGTTAGGATAAGCTTTGGATAGACTATCACTCATTGTTAAATATCTAAACCATAATCAGTGTTTGTTAACATCAGCAAAGTAGAGTAGCCTGAAGTGAAAATACCTAACATGGGGCTGTTAATATATACTTACATTGTACCAGCTCTGCATTTTCTGTAAAGAAAAGAACAGTATATTTAGTAATGAACAGAACTTAAATTTTACTGTAAGAATATAAATATCACCAAAAAATGGATTGTAAACAAGTAAAGAAAATCTACCAGCATGCATTTGGTAGATCAACCCACTTCTACATATGCGTGCATGTGATCCTGCCAGTCCCTAGGCTGAAGCTGTTTGTGTAACCTTGAGGTTTTGCCGTTTTCAGCACTTCTCCATTTAAAAAAAAGGTACATGACACTGACCAGCTGTGTACAGTAATTAGTATAACAGGCTGTTCTTTTCACAACAAATGTCCTGAAAATAAAGGAGATGTGAAAGCTTACATGAAAACCTTATGCACACAACACCCCACGCCGTGTCTAGGTACATTTACAGAGCGCTAACATGCTCACATTTCCATTCTGCCAACAAAACCAGTTAACATTGTGCTTATAAAATGCCTCAAATAGAAAGTAAGGAAAATACAAATAACACATTTAAATGTATTTAACATATCAGTGTTGATATACCAGCGTGTGGGAATGCCTTTCCCTCCCACACATTGGCATTTTAGCTGTTGATTCATTATCATAAACTTTCTTTAAAAGAGTCTAACTGAAAATGCAGCTGAAAGCTTAGAATGATTGAAGATTGTGCCAGAATGGTGAATTCTCGCTCAACAGTTTGTTATTAATTAATGTTTTGATTAAGAGGGCGCAATCCTACATATCATATTCTGAGTGATATTCGGAGTTACCTTGGCATTGCGGCTGAAGTGTCGAGAAGCAAGTGGGTAGGCGGATGTGAGGGAGGAGGCAGAAGGTATGGAGGGCAGGGGGCTGTCGGAGCCTCCCCCGCCTCCCCCCCCACCGCCGCTCTTCTCTCCTCCTCCCTCGCTCTCACTGGCCCTGCTGCTTCCCCCGAGGACCCTGCGCCGCAGCGAGGGAGAGCTGCCGGGGGTGCTGCGTGGAGAGTTACTGGCCGTACTGGAGACAAACAAAAAAAAAGAGGGAGAAAGATTGAACTCAGGGAAGAACAGAGGAAACTCTTTCAAATTTCATAACTAAATCTTGCCCCGTCATCCCTTCAATGTCATGCTATGAAGAAAGGCTGCAGGCATTTCCTATTTGATCAAAGCAAGCCATCTCAAAGTGCCTACTAAAGACCAAAGAAAAAGCACGTACAGTCAGTGTTATCAGATGAACGGACTGTGACTGGAGCAGCAGCCACAGTGAGGGCATTTAAAGCTGTTCGGTAACGGCTCTAAAAGGGCAAATTGACCATTTTCATCTGGCTTCGTATTAGTAGAGTAGTATATGCAAATGAACAATGTTTAAATGTCCTTCATGTTGCCAGTATCCAGAGCTCCACGCTCATTTGCCAGCAAAAGCGTTTGCCGGCTCTGGGGCTGTTTGAACAACAGGTTGTACTTCAACAGATTTTCTGTATGCCATCTGTTCAAACAACATCCCTAGAGCCATTGAAAGCACGCAGAAAGACACATGCGTTTTCAAATGTTGCTGGATAATCAGTGGGAAGGTCTGGGTGATGGCTAACATAGATGGAAGTTAGATATTGTACATTTGCATCTACTACCCACATTGTAATGATACAAAACCGGCTGAAGAATGACAATGTTTCCCTTTAATTCTGTCCAAACAACTACAAAATACAAGATCTGCAGTTTCCTTTAGAATAAAACACTGCCAAGTCAACAAAGAACTTCATAGAATTTAAGCTGTAATTACAGATCTGATCATTTCAAAACTGAAACAAACCATTAGATAAAAGCTGCAAATACTTGTTTTTATTTTTCAGTAACAATGTGGAAATGGGTCAAAGCATTACTCAGTGTACAGAAATGTTATGGATAAAAACTATGACAATCAACTACTCTTAATAATCAAGACCACAATTTGCTTATTACTGCCATTGCATATAGGTTAGAGGATAATAGTCAAGGCACTCATTTCCTTTCAGGGTCATCCTACTGCTGCCAAAACATTTGCATCAAATGTTCAGTCCAGTAACACGTACATGGCTATATTTATGCAACAACACAGTTTCCATGGTTTTCCTCTGTAAGTAATACCTTAATATCATTAGCAGTCAATTTGAATCAGATGTAACTGCTCAAGTGCTAACTTTAAACCGGTAAACTCCAACTTGATGAATTCTCTGCATCAAAATAAGAAATCCTTTATTTGTCCCGCAACGGGGAAATGTACATTATAACAACAGCAGATAGTGCAGGTAAAGTGATGAAAAAAAGGGCTAAGTATGCACACGTCTGCTCGCTTATTCAACAGTATGCTGCAGTGGCTCTTTTTAGACTACAATTGCTGGTTTCATTTATGAAGCTAAACCAAAACCTTCTTTTGTATTCTTCTCCCTTTCAGCCAGACTGCCACACACACACCAAACTACCTCGAACAATCTCTTTGTGAACCACTGTTTTGACACAAATGGTCATGTTTTCACCATATCTATAACAATACAATCTATTGTTTAAGGAAACTTCTATATTTCAAAAAAATGTACTGAATATCGTTGACTCTTTTTGTAGTATGTTGGTCTGATTCCGTATCCAGTGTTAATAACTAAAAGCAATTCTTGATGATAAACAGGTAAATAAATTGCACTTAGTACAACGTTTTAAGAGCTGTATAATGTGCATGTAAGAAAGAAAAGTGGCCTTTTAAAGAGCATTGAATGGTAACATACTATTTCAACTTACAAATGTAGGAAAAATGTGTTCTACTTGTATTCCACTACATTCATTTAAGACCTTTAGCATATTTGGAATAAGGATCTGAATTATAATAAACACTTAAAATAAGACTTAAGTTACAAGCGGAGTAACATTCACTAGCTACTAGGGCTACTCAATTAATCGTATTTTAAATCGCAATTACGATTTTGGCTTGCAACGATTATGAAAACAACATAATTGAAATAAAATGATTATTTTTTTTTTTTTATTGGTTTTAAAGTTGAATTATACTTAAAGTTCAGGGTAATCAACTGTTAAAAACATACTGTTCAAATATATTTTTTCAATAAATGGATGTTTTCAAAGTAAATGGATAACCGTTTTTAATAATCGTGATATCAATTATTGACCCAAATAATCGAGATTATGATTTTTGCCATAATCAAGCAGCCCTACTAGCTACCCTGCAGCGTAATTAAAACTAGCTGCACCTTTAACAGCTTTAATAACAATATTTATAATCAAAACATGATATTATATGTTGGTGCTAATATTACATTACATTATACATTATAATACTTTTATAAATGTACTTTTATTTGTAACAGAGTATTCCTACAATCTGATAGTTCTAATACAGGATCTGAGTACTTCCTCCACCTCTGACAATACATTATTTATTACAGCATTGGTAATTAGATCGGCATAATGGCAAGCAGCATTAGGCTTTCTTGAGGTAAACGCACATGAGGGTAATGGGTTCTTTAATGCTGTGCGTGCAAGTGATGTGAATCTGTGTCAGCATGTGTTTACACACCAGGGCTAAATCTCTGAGCAGCACAAACGTAAAAGGGCTAACAGGCAGCACTTTCAGAAGAGTCGACAAACCTCTAGTTAGCCTTTAGAGTAGTAATATTGACCTCTCCTCTGTACATTTGTCAAGCAAAGCGATAGTGCACATATAAGCTAATGGAAAGCTAGTAGAGGTGCAAAAAAGTACTCAGATCTTGTACTTAAATAAAGGTAGAAGTACCAGAGTGTAGGAATAATCTGTTACAACAAGTCCTGCAATCAAAATATGTCTCAAGTAAAAGTACCAAAGTATTAGCATAAAAATATACTTAAATCGCCGAAAGTAAAAAAGTACTCCTTGGGCAGATTGGCGCATTTCAGAATAATGTTTATCGTATGTTTTGATTATAAATATGTATGTACTAGAGTGTTATCAAAGCTGGTAAAGGTGCAGCTAGATTTAATTACTTTGTTTACTGCAGGGTAGCTAAAGTCCTATTTAAGTGTTGAATATATTTCACAACATTAATCCAAATCTGCAAAGTAACTCAATACATGTAGAAGAGGTAAAGTACACGATATACTTCTGAATTGAAGTGGAGTAGAAAGTAGCATACAATTTAAATACTCAAGTAAAGTACATGTCCCTCAAAATTGTACTGAAGTAAATCTACTTAGTTACTTTACATCAATGAAAGCTAGCATACCGGTTCTGCTACCCAAAACAAATCCAGTCCAGTAAACTCAACACTATAACTGGATAAACACCGAGAAAGAGTCAAACATGAATGAATGATACAACTCGTTTCCATTAAGAAGCACTAGCAGGGGTGCTATGGTCAGGGAAACAGGGTGGAGGTAGTTGAGTGCACCGACAGCAATAACATAAACACACCGCTAGCAACAAGTTTACACAGCTAATATCGGACTAGAGCTGCACACCTGTGCTTTTACATAAACCATGCCTGCCCCACCCATGTTATTAGTGGGATTTGCAGAGCTGTGACTCATTTGACCACACCGAAATCGGACCATGATGGACGGTGTATGAGGAGCACATACAGATCAATGGATAGCATAATATGCTAATCACCACTCAAGCGCTGTTTATGTCACTTACTCGAACATGTCATGAGGCATTTGCGATGAAGCCAATATCCACAAAACACACACACACACGCACGTTGTCGCTCACTATTGTTTCGATACGGTGTTCCGTGTGTGTGTGTTTGCAACTAAAGCAAGCCAGACGCTACAGGGCTGTATGTCCGCTCTTCTGCCTTGTTTCCTTCGCTTCGCCTCCGGGTAGAAATGCACCCATCTTCCACCGTCCCGCGGTCGGATGGTTTAGTTTTTCATAGCGGATTTCGCCCCTGCATCCCGCAGCAAGGTACCGGACGGACCGCTGCTCCCTATGCCGTCAGGAGGACCCAGTAACGGGCTGCAGTCTCTGCGTCCATCCGTAATCCCCTTTGCAACCAGGGAGAGGGTGGAGGGAGGGAGGGAGGGAGGGAGGGAGGGAGGAAGGGAGGGGGAGGCGCCTCCATGTGTTCAGTGAGGCCTTGCTTCTTCTTTTTTTACAGCGAGGTGGTGCTGGACTGGGGGGCACCGATAAGGATGATTAGGCAGAGTAAAAACTGAGGATTTTATCTGAATTTAAAGGGACCAGTTAGTGCAAAAGTGTTATATTTGAATGTAATGCTTTTTTTTTTTTACAGCATATGAAATCCTGAAATGTTCAAGATATATAGGATAGGCCTACTTAGATTTATTGAACAAAACAAGCTTCAGCAAATAATTTCCCCCGTTCATTTTGAGGGATCTGTAGCATTTCCAATATGGGTTCTGTGTGTTTTAAGTGACTTGGATTGATCCTCATGACAGAACGATCTAAATACTATTATGATGATTAATGGATTATAAAATGTTTAACCAACCGTTCAAAACACTTAATGGTTCTGACTACTCATTGGTCCTCAATGATAGATAATTTGTTGTCTTTGTGGAATTTGGACTGCTGGTCGGTCAAAATAAGCAATTTGAAGTCATCTCCTTGGTCACTGGGACTCTGTCCTGGGACTGTGACTTATTTCAGACATTTTATAGACCAAACATTTAATCAATAAAATACTCAACAGATTCCTATAAATCCAAGTTGTACAACCCTTATTCAATATACACGTTCCAAACAAACATAGTAAGAAAATATCAAATGGATGTCATTAAATTGTTAACTATTTGGGATTATTACCTTTCAATATTAGATGGAGGCCCAGGAAAAACATAGGCTAAAACATGACTAGCATTGTAAATAAAGAGACCATGGCTGCCTGTGGTGAATCCACCTGGCCAAAGCCCAGAGCCAACTCAATCCCTTAACCCCCAATCTCTGTCCATCCCTCTGGATTACAGTCCACATCATAATCCACGATGGGCTGAGCCAGGCCGAAATCTCCACCATTCAGACTCTCCCTCTGTGTA